TAGATACTCTTATTTTCATTAATTTGCAGGTTGATGAAGTATATTGATAATTTGAATCAAATATTGCAATTAGGGTACCAACACCATACACACGCAACAATTCTTAAGAAACCAAACACGAGAGAATTGATACACACATACAAAGGTCATTAAGATTTGTTTTACACACTAGCCAATATAGATGAGCTATATCCATTTTTATCATCCCAGAACTTAGACCAAAGCATTACACCTCCATATTTCCGTGACTTCTTTAGAATCGGAAAAATCTGCGAAGTCAGTACATCCGATGGAATATACCCACTTCCGGCTGCTTCAGGAGCCGCCGGAAGACCCAAAAAGATTTTTTGGGCTGTGATCGAAGTGGTCCACTTGTTCCACGAATCGAAAAGGTTTTGAGTGTTACCTGACGTGTATGAACACGGTGGATTGTTGTAGAATTGGACCCAAACGTAGTCAAAAAGTCGAGTGTTAAGAGCACTTCCCATTAATCTATCTGGAAATGGACATTGAGGAGCTCCTGTTAGATATACCTTTCTTCCTCGGTGGCTAAATTTTGAGAGAAAACTGTTCAAGGTAACAAAAATAAAAAATTTAGTTTCATATATATTTCCCTTAAAAATTTTAAAAGGTCAACAAAAATAAAGAATTCAAAGCACCTATATCATATATCTGCTACAATCGTCATGGTAAGCTTGTAGTTTTGATAAATAAATATTTCAATTGATAACGATAATGCTTAGCCAAAAATATTATTTTAAAATGTTTCCCTAACTACTACCTAGCGAGATCATCCCAATGTTGAGGGGAGCCAAGCTCGATATTGAAATCGATACCATCAAGAACAGCATCACCTAGAGGACGCGATGATGATTTTCCTCCCAAGAAGTTGTTCCACAAGTAATCCGCGACCACTTTCGCGTCCTCCCTAGACCCAATCGAGTAGTTTCCGATCCCTCCGCCGAGAGACAACATAACCTTGTCGTTATCACAAAACCAATGTTGGAATTATTATTTTTTAGTAACCATGAGCAAGTCGAATACATAAATGTGATTTTTGTTGATGATTATGTGATTGACTCATGTTCTATTCACAGGATGATGGTTTATTATCTTTTGTCTATCTCGAACTGAATCCTATTCTATTTTATCATTGTGAACATATCTTACTTAGGCCACTATATTTGGATCAAATTCAAATGTAAACTTTTAGACCATGTAAAATTTTGCAGATTTTCAATAGAAAATTAATTGGCAGTTAGTGAATTAGTACATTACTCTTATATATTACTCTATTTTCGATCTCACTACCAGTTTTGGAATCCTAACAATTTTGAACTAATTAACTATAGCATTTGTATGATCAAATTTCAGGGGAATAGAAAAACTTGGATTCATATGGATATTTATTTTCTATCTCAAAAAAAAAATGAAGTCATCTAGACCAGAACGGTATGTGAATGGACCAACCTTGATGCCACGAGACTGACAATCTTTGACCTGAGATCCAAAACGGGTGCAAGTGTTGGCCGCAGGGTTACAGTGCCCGGCGAGGTTGAGCTCCGGCGTTTGGCCGTTTCCGAATTTCACAAGAAAGGCGACGTTGACGTAAACATACCTGCCGGTTGCACACGTGGCCGAGAGGTTACCTTCGTTGCCGTTTTGGCCCCAATAGATGGCTATGCCTCTGGTTGCATCGGAGGGTTTGATAACAAAGCAGCTTATGAAGAAGAGGAAATTTATAACTGGTTTGAGAAAGTTTATGTTTGTCATATTTTTGGCTTCTTCTTGGTTGTGTTGTTTGTTATTGGTTAACTTCTTTTTATAAAAGACTTTGTTCCTTAAAGGAAAATGTAATATTTGTTTGTTCATTCTTTAATGTTTTTTTTTTTAAATTATCTATGTTTATTATAATGTCTCACACACACATTGCATGACTTTCATTAGTTGTCTTTTTTTTGTCAGATTATAACGCTTTACGATTTGAAACTAGATACAGATCTCCAAACATTAAGAAGCCATCTGACCACTAACTAGTGACTTATACAGACTATAACGCTTTACGATTTCGTCTGACCACTAACTAGTGACTTATATATATATATATTTTATAACAAGGGCTTACTAATTAGTGACTTTTCGTTATAACTTATAAGAGATCTAAAAAGTTTAGAATTGGAGATAAGACCGAAAATTATTTAAATTTCTAATTAGCATTGAAAACGTCTCCAGTGGATGAATGACCAACGCACTTTCTAAATCTTTGAATTAAAATCCAAAAGTCTTCATAATAATTGTTTTGACCAAAAATACAATTATTGATTTGACTCGATAAGTTTCAAAGCCAAAATTATAAATCTTGTCCTTTTAGGCCTTTTCACATATAGACAAAACGTGGTCCTAAAGATATAACCATTATTAAGAAGAAAAATAATTAGTGGCTCTAATCTTCTTCCTTTTTAACCTGCTTGTTCTAAACCGGATATGATCGATCCTAGCCCCTAGTACCAAGCCTGCATTATGATTATAAATACTTTAGTATTTTGTTTATAAGCCCAATAAAAGAAATATTGATCCATATAGTGTGGGAGATTTGTTGATCCGTATTAAGTTCGTAACTCAAATGTTTATAATATTAGGGGCCATCATGGCCCATTTTCTAAAATGGTTGAAATCGTAAATACATTTTCTAAAACGGTCATTTTAATATCGAACTATCCGTTTTGAGCTAAAATAAATACCAATTTTCTAATAAGTCAAAAAAATACCAAACTTTAGTTTACTCGACCAAATTAGATATAAAATTAGTCAACTTTAATAGTCGTTAAAAAATCGTTATAACTACCGTTTACTTTATCTGTTAAGTTTCAAAACAGTGTTTTTTTGAAATTAGAAAAAAACCTCATAAGGGCATTTTAATACCAAATTTTTTATTTTGAGCCAAGAAAATACCAACTCTTAATGAGCCATAAAATACACAAATTTATGTTGACTCAGCCAAATTATGTATAAAATTAGTTAACTTAAGACTAAAGTCCAGGTCCAGAGAAATGGAGAGACGAGATCCTCAGAAACTTGATCGGCTTCACACTTAGAGCAGACAACGACATCAAGGCACCAAAAAGATTCGACCAACATTTCAAGAAAGAAGAAACAAATAACGAGCAGATGAAAGAAGATTCATCGTCAAAACTCCAGCTAAGTAACATCATCACTCCGTTTGGGGTCGTTTTTTCTTTTACTTTACCGCTAAGTACTCATGGGTCGTTAGACATAATCCCGAGGGTTTGGCAACCTCGGACGGGTTTAACAGTTGAATTTTCTATTCTTTTTCCATAAAAAAAAAAGGGATAGCAGTTGCTCTGGATATCACTCCTATATGTAGCTCGATCCTAAGGAGTAGGTTCGCCCTTCCAGGTCTTCGGATTCAGGTTACAGTTTCCAAAGATCTTGTGTTTTAACATGTCTGTGGACTCAGGCTATGACCTTCAAAGATCTCAGCTCTCCATGTCTCCACCTTGGCTCTGGCTAAAGTTAACAAATTTTATATCTAATTTGGTTGAATCAACATAAATTTGTGTATTTCATGGCTCATTAAGAAGTTGGTATTTTTTTTAGCTCAAAATAGAAAATTTGGTATTAAAATGACCTTATAAGG